GCGCTTCATATTTATCTTTTGTCTTCATTTCTGATTCCTGAATCTCTTTTATACTTTTCAGTTTGTTTTGTAGTTTTTTTGTCTCATTCTGCTCTTTGTTTGAACATCATGTTTTCTTTAGCTCAGGTTCCATCAAAAACATGTTTCTACCATCGACTGTATATATAAATGGACGTAGTGTCCGTGACGTCACCCATAGGATTCTGCAGAGTTGCCGTGAAGCCCTTAGTAGGCGGAGTCGGCCACTAACGGCTCGACTGTGACGTCAGAGTCTAATCCCGCCTGCTCCAAATAAGGGCAAAGAGGCGGAGCCGAGGCGGGACGACCTGCTGCCTCCGAACTGGAAGTAAGACGGCTCGCCACTGGGATGGAGACTCAAGTTTGATGTGTATCTCACTGTAGATCAATATCACAGATACATTAAAGCTTGGTCACAGTTACTTTAGGGAATATTAGTAAAGAATTCATTTGTAACACCATTTCCAAAGCAAAGCTATAGCGTTATCTGAACTATGAAACAACCTGTTCATTCCTAATTATGTGTTCTTTACATCCACAGGCAACAGCTGAGGAAAAGGGTTGGTGGTTCTTTTGATAATAGAGTCAAAATACAGCATCCAACACTTTGTGACTGCAGCTAAATTAAGATGGCATCCTATCGGACAGCATCTGTGTTCTGAATTCATTGCTTCTGTTGCTCTCTCAATTAATTAAGTATTTCTTATTAAGTCTTTTTATATGACAATTGTAGATTGCAGTGGGAGCTGCCCCCCTGGGTGGACCAAGCTTGGCTCTCGCTGTTTCATCTTCAAGAATCAGAAAATGAACTGGGCTAGTGCTGAGGTACTGAAATGACAACAATAGTGCATTAACTGGAACTTTTAATGTTTGGCATGTTCTCTAAAACAGATTTTGAAACAACATTGTTTGTCTGTGCATACTTTGTTTCCCCACCATAGAGTGATTGCATTGGCCTCGGAGGGAATCTGGCTTCTATCCAATCGACCACTGAATTAAACTTCACCAGACAGTTGGTGAGAACATGTATTATTTGTTTTGCTGTAGCTACAGTAAATTAAACTGTGCAAGGCAAGGCTAGATTATTTATATAGCTTAACAAGGCGTATAAAATATACAAGCATCACTGTGGTGGATATGTATATGAATTCCTAAATCCACCTTATATTCTGATCTACCACAGATAGTAAACACGTATCTTCACTCAGGTGTATTTCCACAGGCCCTTAAACAATGCAGTCATCAAACCACTCTTAATAAAGAACAATCTAGACGCCTCATTAATAAACGATTATAGGCCCATATCAAACCTGATAACAACTTTTTTAAACAGCTAATTCACTTTTGGGAACCAAACCAACACCACAGCACTGACTCTGCTCTTGTTCAGGTCTTTAATGACATCCACTTAAAAACAAGACCGTGTCAGAATCTCAGTCTTAGTATTATTAGTCTCACCGCCGACTCTGTTGACCACAACATATTACTAGAAGATGAAGAGTATACGTTCAGCGACAGGCCCATCCCTCCTCGGCACAGCACTAAGCGCCTCGGTTCTTTGTGCCTGTAGCCATCAGGCTGCACAACCAAGCCCTGTAACCCATCAATAACCTGCACTGAACATTGATCATATTTGCACTGTATGCACATACAACGTATACTCTCTGTTACCTGCACCTTAAATGTATATATTGTATATTTAACATCTGTTCTTCTCACATATCTGTATATATGTACATTCACTGGATCATTGCTTGACTCCCGTTATTTGTTATTTCTATTAACGCTGTTAATACATATTTGTTCTTATTTGATTTGTTTGAATTATTTGTATTCCCTTGTATATTCTATGTGTAATATCTGTGTTTCTTCAAAGTCTGTTGCTGCCATAACAAGTGCATTTCCCTATGGGTGTAAATAATGGTCCATCTTATCTTAACTTATATTCAACCGACTGGAAAACTTGGTGGGACTTTCGGCAACAGTTCTAAATTGGTTTGAATCCTACTTAAAGGAAAGGAAACACTTTGATTATATTGGTAACTACACATCCGAGTGGACAGATATGACAAGCGGAGTTCCTCAAATCTCCATCTTCTCTTTAACATCTAAATGCTTCCAGTGGCTCAGATAATAGAAAACAACAGAATCAGTTTCCATAGCTATGAAGACAATACTCACATTTTCATAACCGTTCGAGAACAAATTCAAGCACTGAGTAAGTCAATTGAACGAATCAATGACAGGACGTGACAGAACTTTATTCAATCAAACAAAGATAACTGAGATAATAGTTTTTGAGCCAAAGAGAAATGGAAAAAAGTCAGAACTTAGCTTCAATGGGCAAGGTTCAAAACAACAGAGAAGGCCAGAAATCTAGGTGTAGTCATGGACTCTGAACTGCGTTTCAACAGTCACATTAGGACAGTTACTAAGTCAGCCTACTATCTCCTAAAGAATATTTCTAAGCTGAAATAACTTTCTTAGCAGGAATTGGAAAGTCTTACTAAAACAATGTTTAAGACAGCTGCAGCTGATTCAGAAGGCCGCTGCCCGTGTCCTCACTAACACCAGGTTCACTTCAGTTCTGAGGTCTTTACACTGTCAACTACTGCTTGTTTTTGAAGCACTGAATGCTTTAAGGCTAAAATACATTTGTGATCCCCTGCTACATTATGAACCATCCAGAACTCTCTGGTCTGCTTTCTGTCTCCAGAGTCAGAACTAAACATGGAGAAGTTCAGTTATCATGCTTCAAACATCTGGAACAAACTCCCAGAATCCTGCAGGTCCGCTGTAACCCTCAGTTCTTTAATTCATTACTTTATTCTTTGATCAAATCAACTATTCATGTCTTACACTGCATTTAGATATGTATACCTGTATTTTATATTACATAAAATGTATATATATATATATATTATTTCAGTTTGTTTTATTATTCATTTTATTCTCTTGGCTTTTTCATGACATTTTATAATGTGTTTCTGCTGCACTTAATGCTCATCATGTTTTTGTCTGTGTTGAAATAAGCTATATAAATAATCTAGCCTTGCCTTGCACAGTTTAATTTACTGTAGCTACAGCAAAACAAATAACCTGGTTTCCACAGAAGCAGTAATTGTTTAATTTTATATTTCTTATGAAACAGTCTAATATTTAATCTAGGGTGTGTCAATATGTCACTCGCAATATCAACTGAGAATCAAGTGTACGTGTATAGCGTCTAGAGGAGGTATATAAAGAACCCTAACCCTTCCATGACTATCACAACTCTTGCTGCAGCTGCAAGTGCTACTTCATCTGATCATCACAGCAAGGTAAGGGTTTAGTTCTTTAGTTAGTTTTAAAAATAAAAACTGAAAGTTAAACTATAGCCCTTGTGTTCAACATGTCAAGGAACATAATATAATGAAGTTGTGTCCATTGCAAGGGAAACACTGCTCATAAAGCAAACTTTACTCCAGGTACTTTAGTCATTGTAACATTTCTAATCTTTACACAGATGGAATCTGTTGTCTACTGCATCGTGCTCCTCTGTGTGACCAGTGGACTGTGGATGGAGGCAGATGTACGTACTATTTGTTATGCGTAGCTACGGATAATACGGAAGTAATTCATTACAAATAATAGACTATTTTAATGAATATCCAGCTCCGTCACATGCAACATTATCTTTTTCAAATATAATCACAGGAGGTTTCAGAAATGTAGTCTCTTTTTTGATGATGAGATAAGATAAAGGGATGTTACAATAAGTAATGGGGATGGAGCAGTGGCGAGGCGTGACTTTTATACCTAGGCCCTCTGACCCCCACCCTCGAGTTATTAGTCACAGCGTATACTTCAGCGGAATATCAAAACAACGGCCCGGGGTGCAAAACGCATCAATGAAAGCGACCCTCTACCACACAAAACAACACCTGTAAATAACCCTATTTGTGTTCTTTGAAATTGAAAAGGATATTGCTCTGTTTTTGTTACTTTCGTTGCAGTTGTATGTCTTAAATGTAATTTGGCATGCTTTTATTTTGAAGGCGAGTTAACGCTGTTGACAGGAAGTTGTTGTTGTTATGGAAACAAGAACAGTTTCACAGCGGGCGGAACTTGTCATAAAGTCCGCGATAATAACACCCACCCATTTAGAGGGAAGATATGATTGGTCAATTGTACTGTCATCTGACATTACTCTCTCGTTCAGTTACTATAGCGGGGCCCTCTGTGAATTCATAGCTGGACCGCCTGGACGTCCAACAGCTCCTCTCAGAGACGAGCTTCTTTCATTTAACCCTTCACATTCCAACAGAAACTCAATAAGCAGATTCGAAGGATTTATTTCTTTGGAAATGTTATTTTAAATACAATTAAATCAAGTTATTTTGGTAAAACTAATGAAAAATATAACTAGATATATAAAATATATAAAACAATATATATATATTTTTTTTAATGTTTTTAAATATTATTTTGTAGAATATCTTAGGCCCTCACAGAGGGCCTAGAGGGCCCTGACGGCTCGCCACTGGGATGGAGACTCAAGTTTGATGTGTATCTCACTGTAGATCAATATCACAGATACATTAAAGCTTGGTCACAGTTACTTTAGGGAATATTAGTAAAGAATTCATTTGTAACACCATTTCCAAAGCAAAGCTATAGCGTTATCTGAACTATGAAACAACCTGTTCATTCCTAATTATGTGTTCTTTACATCCACAGGCAACAGCTGAGGAAAAGGGTTGGTGGTTCTTTTGATAATGGAGTCAAAATACAGCATCCAACCCTTTGTGACTGCAGCTAAATTAAGATGGCATCCTATCGGACAGCATCTGTGTTCTGAATTCATTGCTTCTGTTGCTCTCTCAATTAATTAAGTATTTCTTATTAAGTCTTTTTATATGACAATTGTAGATTGCAGTGGGAGCTGCCCCCCTTGGTGGACCAAGCTTGGCTCTCGCTGTTTCATCTTCAAGAATCATAAAATGAACTGGGCTAGTGCTGAGGTACTGAAATGACAACAATAGTGCATTAACTGGAACTTTTAATGTTTGGCATGTTCTCTAAAACAGATTTTGAAACAACATTGTTTGTCTGTGCGTACTTTGTTTCCCCACCATAGAGTAATTGCATTGGCCTCGGAGGGAATCTGGCTTCTATCCAATCGACCACTGAATTACACTTCACCAGACAGTTGGTGAGAACAGCAACAGGCCAAGATCTAAACTTTTGGGCTGGAGGCCATGATGCTGTCATGGTGAGTTATTTATATATTCTAATTTAGAAGTCGCATTAAAGATATAAGGACTGTACAAAAACCCTTTTATATAACAATTTTCATTGTCACAATGACTAAATATAGGCCTTTCATTCACGTCTGGAGAGTCAGATAACATTGAACAAACTATATGGAATACCTTAGACTTTGTACTTTGAATACGACTGCCTTAGGGACTCCGTAGGACAGCAGAGACATTAAAAAAGTTAGTTTACTTTAATCTCTACTAGTTAATATCACTAAATAAACAATGGATGAATTGGCTTCATGAACATTTGACCAACATACTGAGATTGTCACTTAACTGTGCCTGTAAGCTCCATTATAAGCAATTATTTTACAACATAACGCACCAATAAGCCAACAATAAGCTACCTTTTTAATGACACAGCACCAGGCAGACTGCTGATAAGACAACCCAGTCTCGTAAAAAAACGTGTAATAGCTACGTTGGTCCACAGGGCAAAACGTAGTATATTCACAAATAACCCTCTCAAGACGTGACATGGATACAATATGTGTTCCTCTTCATTTCTAATGACCAGTGTCCATGTCACATGATCGAAAACTTTCCTTGCCTGAGAAAAAAAAATACACATAAGAATACACTTCTTCTAGCGAGAAGTGTATATTGTACTTTTAAAATCTACGTCCAGTGGATGTGTAGTCTATCGTTTTTATTGGAGCTCTTGCCAGGAGAACGTGTATATACTACTGTGGTGGAAACTTCTGAAGCAATGGAGACGAAACTCAGAGATGGTTTATTTGGAGCTTCGGCCGGAGAATTCATAAGACATGTCGTGCACCACGAGTTGACACAACGGATGCCAAACCAATTCTGAAGATCTCTACCCCAGACCCGTGTGTTTAGCTGGTTCTGAGAGAATAATCAACAGGCAAAGCACTATGGCACCTCTATCAGCTGACGCCAACAGGCAGGAACAGGGAGACAGAACACTGAGAGCACAGCAGCCAAGCTCCAGGTGCCTGAGCTCAGTCAGGACAGCACAAACTGATAAACTGGGTCGAAGTTATGGGCCTGGGAAAATATTTCCTCAACACTACGTATGTAAACTATTGTGTTTGCTCTGCGCGCACCCCTTGAAATTGTGAGATTGCTCTTTCCCCATATTAATTTCTATTGAACAGCGTCCATGTTAAGTTATAGTCAACTCTCACGGGTTGAAAACAGTATTTCCGGTCTCTGCGTTTTCATAGTAACTAAGGTGGTTGCTAGGGACGCATATCATTCCCCTCACTGTCGAATTATTTTACAGCGATATCTGCAGTACGCATCAACTAAAAAACATCAGTTTGTTGATCACACAACATGAATTGGTTTAAATTGTGAACAATGCTTTTGTGTTTTTCCGTTTTGATTCTGAGAGACACATTTCTTTTTCAGAGTTTTGGAAAGCCGAAAACATTACGCTACCCATAATCCTCAGCTATCGTTGAAGCTCGGTGATTGGATGTCTTATTGCACGTTGGGATATGGTGTTTATGCGATAGAAAATACGAAAAAAAGTTTTAAAGAAAATACTTTATTCCACGTGTGCTTGCTTTTCTCTTTGGAAGTCATCACATGAATGCTTTGTAATAAGTGGTTCGGCTACATTCAATTACACATCTGAGAACTTTTTCTTGTGGGCTTTTGCATCTCAGCTTACGGGCCTGTACCCGATGTCCATAGCGTTTTTGAGGAATGGATTTTTTTGGATCTGCAGAGTATAAATATAGTTTCAGTGAGAGCTTTGGTTCTGATGATTGCTCAATGCCCCCCCCCCCCCCTACCTGGAAGAGATTCTTCTGAGAAATAGAATATTGCAGAACGGTAGTACCATTTCAGGTTTGGGAGTTGTAGTCCTACCATTTCATATGGAAGATATAACAGCCTTAGTCTCAGTCTAGCTTTGTGGGATTGAAATAGGTATACAAATGTGGGTAATATTTTTATTTTGATGCGTCCTATCATTAAAAAATGCATTGTCATCCATCTATCATTGTGTCTAGAAAATGACTTTTCATTTATGTTTCTCTCAGGAGGGAGTGTGGCAGTGGAGCGATGGCTCTAAGTTTAGCTTCAGCAGCTGGGGCCGGGGGGAGCCAACCAACAGTGGAGGAAAGGAACACTGTATGCAGGTTAACTTAGGAGGTAAAACATAAACAATTATATGTTGTCCTCTTTATTTATGCTTACAATCAACAAGAGAATTATAAAACATTTGAATTATTCCTTTTTAAGTTGTTACTTAAAAACATGACAAAACAATACCTCTTTAATGTCGTCGTTCATTTATTCATCAGATAACTAATCTGTGTTGTTTTTGATGATCTTTAAGCTCCAGCTAACAAACATGTCAACGACGTAGACTGTCTTGACGTGCAACCTTTTGTCTGTTCCTCCTCCCTGAAATGATGACACATACCAGGATGTCAGGCCTCGATTACATCAGTGCTTTGAAGATTTATCGACACTCCTCATTCACTTTAATATTTAATCAATAAACTGATTCACTCAGCTAAGCAATATTTCAGTTTAACACCTGAACATGTATTTCTCTCTCTGTGCTATGATACTAAAGCTGACCAGCAATCCAATCAATTAAAGCATAACTGAAAGCAAAATGCTTCATTATTTCCACATCTTCTAAATGTTCCATCAGCCAGTAATGGTACTCATTTCATCGTCCTCTCACTACTTGAACATCTTCAAAATCAAATGGGAAATATTATTAATTTCCACCCACTACTGTAATGTGAATATTAGAAGTAGTAAAGTACACTGCATGCCGTTAAACCGCTGCATATCAATATTGCGAAATGGAAAACAATTTCAAAAACATAATTTAAAGAAGGCATTCATGTTATTTCCTTGTGTACACATGAGGAACATTGCAGTCTCCTTTTTCCGTAGATTATTTTGGCAGCTTAATACTTTTAAATTCTTTGGTCAATTTAAAAATAGAAGTTTGTTATTTTTGAATAAAAAAGAACATTGTTGAGGAGGCTCTAAACATACTGAAGGACCACATCATTGCAATATGCAAAAAGAAGTGACATGTGTTTTCCATTACTAAATCCTCATCAACACCATGCCATCCCTTTGAGCATTCATGTGTTTATATGTGGATGGCACAACATTTTGGATCCATAAAAGCTCAAGTAAAGTGAGTGAAGCTTTTTCACTAACACTAAAGGTTGTTTTAACCGTGGTTTCATACTTAACCCTTGATTGTGCAGAGAGGGAGTTACACAGTCACAAGATGGAGGAATACCGGTTCTTGTAGGTAATCATACATCCTGTCGTCCTGGACGGATATCCTCGTGGATTAATCTTCCTATTATACACACATGCATTTCCAAACATTTGGTCTACCTATGTTGCAAATGTATTATCTTTTCAATTTACACACGGCATCTATTGCACGTCTGTCCGTCCTGGGAGAGGGATCCCTCCTCTGTTGCTCTCCATACTGATATTTTGTACAAACTGTAAAGTCCACTGAGACAAATGTAACATTTGTGATATTGGGCTATATAAATAAACATTGATTGATTGATTGTCGTGTAAAATGTTGGCTTTTTTCTGACTTTCTCAAATTTCGGACTTTTCTGAAAATCAAAAAATGCAGGAAATGGAAATGTTTGCGTTGCAGCAGCATAAAAAGACAAGGCATTGTACATTAGAGAAATTAAAAGACTAGAAAGAAACAACCCATTATGTAAACATCTCAAATAGAAATAAAGGTAGACTTCTTCTTTTCTCTGTAACTCTAACTAGTACTGTCTGTTGCTGACATCTCTGACTGGATGTCCCACAATGTGTCTCCCAGCAGAGTTAAACCAAAGTGCTGCTGCCTCCCATCATGCACCAGGGCTTTGCATTGCATCATGGTATATTGAGGCTGGGGAGAAAAGACGCTGGTGTCTCTGTTTTAGTAACTTCTCCTGATAGGTGTCGTCTAGCAAAGCAACACTAAACTGACCCAGGAACGTGAGCTGCTCCTGTCTCTGTCTCTAACGGGGGAAGAGAATTCCAGATCTGAAGCTTTCTGATCATTATCAATATCCAATCCAATCCACTTTATTTATATAGCACAGTTTAAAAACAGAGGGTTTGCCAAAGTGCTTCACAATGAACATAACATTATAATAAAATATAATATTACACGAATAGATAAAAAGCACACATAAGAAAAGATAAAAAAGCACACATAAGAATAAATACAAGGCTATGGACAGACAGTAAAAGCATACAAATAGGTAAGACATAGCTCAGACTGACTGGTAAGCGAGGGAAAAGAGGTGGGTTTTTAGGCGGGACTTAAAAGCTTGAAGAGTGGGCGACAATTTAACCTGAGGGGGCAGGTCGTTCCAGAGCCTGGGGGCTACCGATGAGAACGCTCGGTCTCCCCTGGTCTTTTGTTTTGTTTTTGGGACTACAAGCAGCAGCTGATCAGCCGACCTCAAAGCCCTTGAGGGGGTGTACACCTGTAAGAGGTCGGAGATGTACTCTGGGGCCAGCCCATTAAGAGATTTAAAAACAAACAATACAATCTTAAAATGGACTCTAAAATGGACAAGAAGCCAGTGGAGCGAAGCCAGAACTGGTGTGATGTGGTCAAACTTGCGGGTTCCTGTAAGAAGCCGCGCCGCAGCGTTTTGTACAAGCTGCAGGCGGGCCAGCGAAATCTTATTTAGGCCGGCATAAAGTGCATTACAATAATCTAAACGAGTTGAAACAAAGGCATGAATTACACGCTCAAAGTTTAAAAAGGATAAAACCGGTTTAATTTTGGACAGGAGCCTCAAGTGATAAAAACTGGATTTAACCACAGAGTTTATCTGTTTATCTAATTTAAAAGCACTGTCGATTTTGACACCCAGATTTGTGACCATGGGTTTTGCAAACTGTTGCAGGGAACCTAGGTCAATGGAAGGGACATCACCATTTGAACATTACTCCTGTTCTGGCTGCCTTACACTGGCTCCCTATAGAACACAGGATAGAATTTAAAATTCTTCTTCTCGCCTACAAAGCCCTTAATGGGCAGGCGCCATCTTACCTTAAATAACTCATTATACCCTATTGTCCTACTAGGGCATTGCGTTCCAAGAATGCAGGGTTGTTGGTTGTTCCTAGAGTCTCTAAAAGTACAATGGGAGCCAGAGCCTTTTCTTATCAAGCTTCACATTTGTGGAATCAGCTTCCAGTTTGTGTTCGGGCGGCAGACACCCTATCCGTTTTTAAGAGTGCGCTTAAGACCTTCCTTTTTGATAAAGCTTATAGTTAGGGCTGATTAGATTCAGCCCCTAGTTTTGCTGATATAGGCTTAGTTTGTCGGGGGACATCTTACTTCTTCCTTCTCTCTGTCTATACCTGTGTACTCTCATGTTCCGATTAACCCAGCTTCCCCAAATGTCTTTCTTTTTGGTGTCTATATACGCCGGGATCCGGAGTCATGGATGATCCTGCGCTCCTCTGTCCTGGATCGCGAGCCCTGGATCTTGAGTCGTGGCTGTGGTCCTGGATCATAGGTCCTGGATGGATATCCTCGTGGATTCATCTTCCTATTATACACACATGCATTTCCAAACATTTGGACTACCTATGTTGCAAATGTATTATCTTTTCAATTTACACACGGCATCTATTGCACGTCTGTCCGTCCTGGGAGAGGGATCCCTCCTCTGTTGCTCTCCCTGAGGTTTCTCCCATGTTCCCCTTTAAACTGTGGGTTTTCTTCGGAAGTTTTTCCTTGTACGATGTGAGGGTCTAAGGACAGAGGGTCTGAGGACAGAGGGTCTAAGGACAGAGGGTGTCGTATTGTCATACTGATATTTTGTACAAACTGTAAAGTCCACTGAGACAAATGTAACATTTGTGATATTGGGCTATATAAATAAACATTGATTGATTGATTGATTGATTGATTTGGTCAAAACACAATTACCTCCGTTTTGCTCTCATTTATATTTAAAAAGTTTAGCGCCATCCAGGCCTTTATGTCATTAAGACAGTCAACCAGGGTTATCAGAGAGCTAGTGTTTTTTCTTAGGGATAGATATAATTGGGAGTCGTCCGCATAAAGGTGGTAGGAGACGCCATATTTTCTAAAAATCAGTCCAAGGGGGAGAAGGTATAAGGAAAATAAAATAGGCCCCAAAATAGAACCTTGGGGAACTCCACAGGATAAGGGGGCAGAAGAGGATGTAAAGTCACCAAGCCTAACAGAGAAAGATCTCTTGGACAGATAGGACCTGAACCACTTTAAGGCAGTGCCCCTGATACCCACACTGTGCTCTAGACGAGAGATAAGGATGGAGTGGTCAATCGTATCAAAAGCAGCTGTGAGGTCTAAGAGCATAAGGATGGCAGAGTCACCAGAGTCTGTAGTGACCAGGAGGTCATTGAATACTCTTAGAAGGGCAGACTCAGTACTGTGAAGCGCTTTAAAACCGAATTGAAAAATATCGAAAATATTGTGTATAAAAGACTGCAGCTGTAAGAGTACGGTTTTCTCCAATATCTTTGAAATAAAAGGAAGCTTCGAGATGGGTCTGTAATTTGAGAAGACAGAAGTGTCCAGATTAGTTTTCTTTATCAGGGGTGCCACAACCGCTTGTTTGAAATAAACTGGCACAGAACCGGACTCTAGGCTGCTATTTATAATGTTATGGACATTAGGTCCAATAGTGTCCCATACCTCTTTAAAAAGTCGAGGAGGGACTGGGTCTGTGGGACAAGATGAGGGTTTTAATTTAGCAACAATGTCACTGAGAGATGACAACGACACAGGTCCAAACTGCTGGAAGACAGCAGTGCATGTGAAGTCAATGGAGGGGTCAAAAGAGGGTGGTGAGATACTGGCTCTAATAGTGGAGATCTTGTCTATAAAATAGCAGAGGAATTTTTCACACATCTCAGTTGAAGCATCAATACAAGTGGATAAAGGAGAATTTAACATAGCATCGATTATTTTAAAGAGAACACGAGGTTTGTTTAAATTACTAGAAATAATATCAGAAAAGTAACTCGTCTTTTCAGCTTTTACATTGCTCTGATACTTTCTCCAACTCTCTTTCAAAATGTCACGAGTTACATGAAGCTTGTCCTTCTTCCACCTGCGTTCAGCCTGCCGGGACTCACACCTGGCAGCACGAGTGAAGTCATTGAGCCAGGGTTCAGATTTAACTTTGGGGCGCATGGAACAACAATGTCAAGAGCTCCAGTGCAGGAAGAGAGAAAGGCTGAGGTTAATAGCTCAGTGTCCATGGAGTCAGCGGACATATTATCAGACTGTTAATTTAACAAAGGCAGGGGAGAAACTAGCAGCAGTGGAAGGTTTCATCATACGACCGTGACGGACAGGAGCGCATGATTTAAGACTATGACAGGGCAGAATCAAATCAAATAGCACAGGCAGGTGATCCAATAAAGCTGCCTCACGCACATTGACATTTGAAATGGGCAGACCATGGGATAAGACAAGGTCTAATGTGTGCCCATGCTCTTGCGTGGGGCCAGAGACATGTTGTATGAAGTCAAAAGCATATAAAACATCAAGAAAGTCTTTAGCTAGTGGTTTCGAGATACAACAGACATGCACATTAAAATCCCCGACAATTAAAACGCTGTCATAGTTTGTCACGATACCGGCCAATAGTTCAGAGAACTCCTTTATAAAGTATTTGTTGTACTTGGGCGGTCGGTAGACCACCGCACACAGTACAGGATTAATCCGTCCCAGCTCAAACAGGCTCAGTTCAAAGGAGGAGAATGAGATAGACGGCGTGGGTTTGCAGTATAAACTGCTCCTAAAGACAGTCGCTATACCTCCTCCACGACCCGTGGTCCGTGGAGAATTAATGAAACTGCACTCCGGAGGCAATAGCTCTGTAAAAGCAGCAGACTCACCCGCAGACATCCAGGTTTCCGTTATAAAAAGCACATCCACAGCATGTGACGTGAAGAAGTCCTGGATGATGAAAGTTTTGTTTGCGATCGATCGCGCATTTATCAGCGAGCCTTTAGTTGGAACTGGGGCAACAGTCGCGTGAGTTTCACGACCCAGCGACCGAAGGTTGCGGCGGTTCACTCCATCAGGGTGGGAGAGGCGAGACCACTGGGGGCGCAGGATATGCAGATCTTGAGTCAGGTCAGCGACAGGTAGGCCTACCAGCCAGGTGCCTACCATGGCAAGGGGGCGTCGGGAGGCCAGGCGGCGAAAACAAGGTCCATATTCCGGGGGAAAAGGGTGCTGAGCCAGCTCAGGAGAGCACGCTAGCCACTCTTTCACCCTAACCAACCGGTCACTGCGTGTGCCTCGGCGTCTGCGTCTTCGGGGTAACGAGGGCCCGGCCCGCAGTAGGTGTGCAGGTACATCCGATAGAAGGGGGGGAGGGGGGGGGGGGGGGGGGGGGGGGGGGGGGGGGGGGGGGTGTGTCCACCCTGGCTATAATATGGAGCAAAGATATAAATAAACCATCAAACTGAGACAAAGACAGGCCACGAGTCCGACTCAAAGACACACTTTATTAATTAGATCAGTTGCTTACATTGAAAGTAGCCTACATGAGTGTTAATGAAGAGACAATCATCATGTGATTGGTCTGTTAGTAAACCCATCTAACCCAGACCAGAGGTTTACATTCACCCCAAAAGCAGCCGTGTTCATTCAAACGTCATCGTGTTGTTTAGGGAATATTAGTTTCTAAATGCAAATAAGGCGAATCTGACCCTTCTGTTGGAGTCAGGAGTCCTGTTAATTTATTTCGGCAATTACTCAGACCTACTAATTGACCTAACAGAAGCTATTGAGTCTATGTTTACTGCTTAGTTCAGATCCACCAACGTCAGCAAGATCTCACCTCTATTAACTTCTGAAGAACCAGGTTCAGTGCTGTTTCAATTCAGACAACTCTCTTAAATCTGTTTAAGCGATCCCGAAGGATTTTGATATCAGTAAAGAGGTGTGGCCCTACCTAAGTGTGAGTGTGGCAGGGTGCAATCTTACCTTTGAAGCAGGAGAGGAGAGCGCAGATGTCTTTTAAGTTGTCCCAGTCCAAAAGGTGGGATCAGTTTATTTGAAGAAAATGGTCCACATTTTTTTACAACATGACAATCATACAAAACATATCATGCTGTGGTCATGTTCTAATAATAAACCTCAATTAACAGTTTTACATTTCTCACATTGAATTGTAACTTCAACTGCCCACTTCAGTTGTATCATTAAAAGTATAATCCGACAGAATTTAGAGGAATCTCCTCATAAATGGTCGGTGATAAAAAACACATTCAAACTTTCATTCAACAAATCAACATCACTTTCAACTCCTATTCCAGCATGAATTCAGAGGAACGTCCTCATAGGTGGCTAGTGATATAACACATTCAAACATTCAACAAATCAATTCATCCAACCATTCAATAATCAATTTGAGAGAGCTTACTAGGGTAGAAACCCCGCTCTCTCCCTCTCAACCCAAAGGCACACCTCATACCCATATATGTAGGAAAAGGTCATGGCCTCTGGTGTGCAGGACTGGACATGTCCAGACATATTCTCCTATGGTCGACACACATTTTGGGGCTTCAGTACTTTGCCATTGAGTCAGGGGCCTCCTGTGCATCCTGCTGTGAGTGAAGACAACTGTCTCCCCTCTTTAAACAGTTACACCCATTGTAGCGGCCAAAATCATATAGAAATAAAACAGATAATTAACTTAAAATAATACAGCCGCTGAGGCACTAGTTAGCAGATCTCACGCAGGGCAATGATCCAGGTCCAGACAAGATTCTCCGTTGTGCATTTATTATGATCCAATATCATTGACAATGAACAGGTTTCCTATGGTTCCTTAAGCCTTTCCTCTGGCTCTCCTTTCTTGTGGTTGGAAAACCCTGGTAAAAAACCTTGCCGTGAAAGCGGACTTGTTTTTTTGAAGACCACAGAAAGTAGTCAGATTACAGATCATCTGCAATAATCCGAGTTGAAGCTGATTTAGCAGTCCTTAAAGAACGCATGGCTGCATTGAAGAGGAAGCATGCTTTGGAGATCCCAAGAGGAGGAGCTTAGAAAAGAAAAGACAAAACTTGCTTTTGAACTAAAACTGACTCAATGCCAACATTGACATAATGAAAATCCACTCGAAGCGTGGATCGAAAGGATCTGTGGAAAAAGGTAACAAACAGAAATCTGAAAAGATAAAGTTTCCTTCTGCCCCAAACTACTGTTTCTGTCCAACACAACCATCACTCACAGGATACATGTTCAAGCTTCAAGATGAAAATAGAAAATGAGGAAACAAATTCCATAAAGGTGGATGGATCTAGTTTTGTTTGCCCTGCTGGTCACATAATCAAAGACTATTGGAGACATTTGAAGTGCAGTGTGTGTCACTAGAAGCAACGGTCAGCCCTTCACATTGAAGATGAGGACACGGGCACATCCTTCAACAAAGCACATGTCTCACCTGGACAGTCAGAGACAAGTGTTCATACTGGGGCCGGTGGACAGGGCAATGGATTCAGCTCTGGCTGCCCTGTCGTAGTAACCTCCCAGCTTGCAGTGGAACAACAAGAGAAGATGCTCATTAAACTTCACATTCATCATGATTCAAAAGAAAAAACATCAGCAGTGCCATGGGGAGAGCACACAGAGTGAGGAGCAGGGAAGAAACCACAAAGAGGAGACCAGCTCCAAGACATCAGAGAGTCAACAAAGTCATAAACATCAGACTGAAACACAGGATGAGGAAATGGAATCCGACCTCCAGATAGATTGTGTGAACAGTGATGGAGACACATAGGAGCCTCCTTATGAAGAGGGTGACAGAGCGAGTGGAAAAGCCCCAGAAAAGAATTTCCAACGGGAGATATGTTCTTTATTGCAAATACAAGTGGACCCTGGATGAAGGGAAGGACGGACACTGATTGGTCAGCTCTGTGAGCCCCAAATGAAGACCAGTGTCATGGAGAGACCTGTTTGAAGATCCGCCTGCTCCTGGATGCAGCAGCGTAGCATCATGAACATGTATTCTTTCTGTTTCTCTAGACTATTTTTCTTTCTCTCCAGGAAGCTGTTGCCTGAAACGTGTGCAGATGATTATTTGTATGTTGTATGGATAGGATAAAGATAGAGTATAGCTCCATTTATATATATTTAAGTAATTGTGTGTTTACACAGGTCTCAATTAGGGGCCGGAATGTTGGAGCAGTATCTCTTTATATTATTTAATAGTTTAACATTTATTCTCTTGCTGTTTATAGTGTTTATTGTAAATGTATTCTTAGTTAGCGTCATAAGTTAAAGTACACTGAACAAAAATATAAACGCAACACTTTTGTTTTTGCTCCCATTTTTCATGAGATGAACTCAAAGATCTAAAACATTTTCTATAAACACAAAATAACCATTTCTCTCAAATATTGTTCACAAATCTGAAAGAATCTGTGATGGTGAGCACTTCTCCTTTGCCGAGATAATCCATCCCACCTCACAGGTGTGGCATATCAAGATGCTGATTAGACAGCATGATTATTGCACAGGTGTGCCTTAGGCTGGCCACAATAGAAGGCCACTCTGAAACGTGCAGTTTTGCATTTATTGGGGGGGTCTGGGGGGGGTCCGAAAACCAGTCAGTATCTGGTGTGAGGGGTAGGGTTAGGGTTAGGGGTAGGGGTAGGGTTAGGGTTAGGGGTAGGGTTAGGGTAATGTTGTGAATCGAGTGGCCCATGGTGGTGGGGTTATGGTATGGGCAGGCGTATGTTATGGACGACGAACACAGGCCACTCGATTCACAACATTACCCTAACCCTAATCCTAACCCTAATCCTACCCCAAAACCAGATGCTGGCTGGTTTTCGGACCCCCCTAATAAAGTAAAAATGCACGTTTCAGAGTGGCCTTTTATTGTGGCCAGCCTAAGGCACACCTGTGCAATAATCATGCTGTCTAATCAGCATCTTGATATGCCACACCTGTGAGGTGGGATGGATTATCTCGGCAAAGGAGAAGTGCTCACTATCACAGATTCTTTCAGATTTGTGAACAATATTTGAGAGAAATGGTTATTTTGTGTATCTAGAAAATGTTTTAGATCTTTGAGTTCATCTCATGAAAAATGGGAGCAAAAACAAAAGTGTTGCGTTTATATTTTTGTTCAGTGTAGTTTCGATGCTTTTATTTTGAAGGCATGTTTTGGGCACTGGGTGATCAGAGCACCTGGTGTAATTGTATATATTGGAGACAGGTGGAGGTGGGAGCACGAGTAGGCACACGGTTTTTTTATCAGGGTGTTTCAAGCTACACAAAGGAACGGCTTCAGGAAGAGAGAGATAGGAAACCTGTTCATTACTTTGTTATTGGAATAAAATGCACAAATGGAGGTTCTTGTCTGGACTTGGATGATCATTGCCCTGCGTAAGATCCACTAACCAGTGCCTCAGCGGTGTTTTAGTTCTATAGGATTTTGGCCGCTACACCCTTAGTGAAACTATAAAAGGCCTTAAACTCAATTGAACTCAATTTTGTATATACTGTGATTATGGAACAACATACAATATAATGCATTTTCATTGTGGGTTATACAAGAATATATTTGATTATATTAACTTTTGTTTTAATTATTCAACCTAATATGAAGACCTCAACACTTCTTAAAAAGTAATGACCATGTTTGCATGAGAGTAAAAAGCGAGCATTGAAATAAAAGCTGCACTCTGAGCCGCTCAGACTCTGCCGTGTAGGGCCACGTTATATTTTAAATATTCACAGGGAAGCCGGTCATTGAGCTCAAATGCATGCACGCTGTGGTTTGCACTTTATGTTCACGTTTGCACTTTAGACGTTATTATATGTTAGTTTGTTTCCATCATATATTACATTCTGCAGAAGTGGTTGAACTCGTCACTATGACCTGTTCTCAACGAGCCTCAGTAACCCTTTGCTGCTGCCATTCAAACTGAAGTGATGTCACGTGTTCACAAACTACAGGTGGTGGGAAGACTTTGGGATAAATGTAGGTTTTCCTGCAGTTTCAGAATAAAAGCCTCCGTGTGGAAATAAATCAGAATGGACTTCCTGTTGTTCTTCAACCTCTTTCTGAGTTTCATCTTAGCAAATACTGACTTTTGTTTTGAGAGTTTTCTTAAAATCTTACATTTCTGACTTCTTTTTGAGAAACTTTTATTTTCTGAAATCTCAACATTTAGATGTAGGGGGGGTCACTCCTGCAGAGAGCACAGAGACACTGAGGAACCAGACCAGAACCCAAACCCAGCATAGAGAGGTTCAGTGAATGTGGTTCTGAGGGTGTGGAGGTGGGTCAGTGTGTCTGAGGAGACTCTGTAGAAGGAGAGAGAGCCAGCAGGATGATCCAGATACACTGCTACTCTACGAGAGGAAGAGGAGGACGAGGAGATGAGTGTTTCTCTCTTATTGTGCCTGACAGAGTTAGAGTAACTAACACCAGCAGAGCACTCCAGACTCCAGGACTGATCATTCCCTCCAAACCCACAGTCCTCACTGTCTCCTCTCCTCCTGATTCCTCTGTAAGTCACTGATATAGAAACCCCTCCTCTCCACTCGACCTCCCAGTAACAGCAACCTGTCAGAGCTTCTCTGCACATCAGCTGAGGATCGGAGTCAAACCTCTCTGGATGATCAGGATATTTCTGCTTCTCCTCCACATATATCACCTTCCTGTTGTTGTCAGACAGTTTGAGGTTTTTGTTCACTGTGTTTGAGTCCGGTGTGAGTCCACAGAAATCTGATGAGAGACACAGCCGGTATTAAAGGTTATTAAAGTACCTGTGATGTCCCAGTGTGAAGATCATGATTAAAAACACACTTACACTTCCTGAGACCTCCTGGCCTCAAGAACCGGACTGCAGCAGGCTCCAGGCTGAAAGCAGAGGGGGGGTCAGTTAGTCTTTAAAGGATCTGATATGTCCACCTCAGTCTGCCTCCAGAAACATCTACAAACACTGAGGTGTCTCTTTCATGATGTCTATGATCTCCTCTCCAGGTGTTGATCAGGTGGGGGCATGCTTCCTGTGTGCATCAGGAAATATGGGTTTCTCTTTGGTTCACCGTGCGCTTCATATTTATCTTGTCTCTTGATTCCTGATTCCTGAATGTGTTTTATACTTTTCAGTTTGTTTTGTTGTGTAAGCCTGAATTTACAGCTGGGGGGGGGCTGCTGATATAATGATGATTATTCGTATTGTCCATCTATGACGCGCCGCAGCGATAGACTAGAGTAGAAAATACATCACATAACGTTAGCATTTCGAAAATGTTAGCGTGGCTTAATAATAGTGCGAAAAGACAGCGGTTGTCGCCGGACAAGGCAAGGCAAGGCAAGGCAATTTATTTGTATAGCACAATTCATGCAGTAATGCAATTCAAAGTGCTTTACAGGATCAAACAGAGCAAACACAATACATTGAGAAGAAATACAAAACACACAAAATAATTAATTAAAAGAAAGAAAACCATGTCTAACAGTTCAAAAATTAGAACATTTAAATTTGTAAAGCCATATTAAAAAGAACTGTTTTTAGACCTGATTTAAATGTTTCTAAAGTGCTAGCCATTCTCAGATGTTCTGGGAGTTTGTTCCATGCATTAGGAGCATAGAGAAGGCTGCTTTCCCACGCTTTGATCTCACCAATGGAACAGTGAGCTGGCCTGCGCCTGAAGACCTAAGGGGTCTGCTGGGTTCGTACCACTGAAGGAGGTCCTTGATATATTTGGGTCCTAGCCCGTTTAGTGCTTTATATGTGTGCATTAAAATCTTAAAGTCAATTCTCTCACTAACTGGAAGCCAATGCAGTGATCTCAGCACGGGAGTGATGTGATCCGTTTTCTTTGTCCGGGTTAAGATTCTGGCAGCAGCATTTTGAATTAGTTGGAGTTTACGGAGTGATTTTTTTGTGAGGCCTGTGAAGATGCTGTTGCAGTAGTCAAGCTTGCTAAAAACAAATGCATGGACACGTTTTTCAAGGTCTTGCTTCAACATAAGGTCTTTAATATGCGAGATATTTTTAAGATGGTAGTAGGCTGATCTGTTGATTGCCCTGATGTGGCTGTTAAAATTGAGGTCAGAGTCTAAAATTATACCTAAGTTTCTTGCTTGACTTTTCGGTTCGAGTAATAGTGATTCCAGGTGTGCAGAGACTTTAATTATTTCTTCTTTGGTTCCAAAAACAATTACTTCGGTTTTTTTTGTGTTGAGCTGTAAGAAATTACGGCACATCCAGTCATGTATTTGTTTTAGACATGTGATCAATAAATCAGTCGGACCGTATTCATCTATGGAAAGTGATATGTAGATTTGGGTGTCATCCGCGTAATTATGATAAGAAATGTTGTTATTTCTAATTATTTGAGCAAGTGGCAGCATGTACAAATTGAATATAAGGGGCCCGAGGATCGACCCCTGGGGAACTCCACAAGTCATTTTGGTTCTGTCTGATGTACAGCTACCAATTGAAACAAAATACTCTCGGTTTTCAACATATGATGTAAACCATTTTAGGACAGTGCCAGACAGACCCACCCATTTCTCTAGTCTTTCTATTAAAATGTTGTGATCTACGGTGTCAAACGCCGCACTGAGGTCTAATAGAACTAAAACTGTGGATTTCCCACAGTCGGTATTACAATGAATGTCATTTAAAATCTTTAATAAAACCGTCTCTGTGCTATGACGAGACCCAAAACCAGATTGGAAAGTGTCTAAAATGTTATTGGAGGTCAAAAAACTGTTAAGTTGAAGGTAGACAACCTTTTCAATTATTTTGCTTAAAAATGGTAAATTTGAAATTGGCCTGTAATTACTGATTATCAGTGTATCGAGTGTGTTCTTTTTTAGCAGTGGCTTAATAACTGCAGTTTTCAAGCCCTTAGGGAAGTCACCTGAATGGAGCGACATGTTCACAATCTGCAGTACATCTGAGGCAATATAGCAATAGACATTTTTAAAGAAGTTTGTCGGAAGACTATCAAGACTACATGTAGTTGTTTTTAGATGGAATATAACGTCTTCAAGTGTTTTATGGCTGACTGGAACAAATTCTGACATGTTTGCTTCATTAATTATTTGTCCTTGCAATGGGTCAAGACTCGGAATTGAGGAATTGATATCTTGCCTGATCTTTAAGATCTTTTCTGTGAAGAATAAAGCAAACTCATTGCATTTCTGAGTGGAGATTAGTTCAGGGGCTATTTCCATTCTGGGGTTAGTTAACCTATCAATAGTGGAAAATAATAAACGAGAGTTATTAATATTTTTGTTGATAAGATCAGAGAAAAATGATTGTCTAGCTTTCTTCAGTTCAAGACCGTAGGTGAATAGTTTTTCTTTGTAAATATCATGATGTATCTTGAGTTTTGTTTTCCGCCATCTGCGTTCAGCTTTCCGGCATTCTGTTTTTTGAAGTTTCACTGATGGTGAATTTCTCCATGGTGCTTTCTCTTTTCCAAATATTTTTTTAACTTTCACGGGCGCAATGGCGTCAATGATATTCGTCAGTTTTGCGTTAAATGTATCCACCAGATTACTAACAGGGTTTGGTGTGAGAGCCGGCGCGGCTAAAAAGGCTTGGATAAATGATGTACAGGTATTTTCATTGATATACCTTCTCAAAGTTACATCAGACCTAGCGTGGATCACATCAGCGACAGACATCTCAAAGGAGATACAGTAATGGTCAGAGAGAGCGACATCAGAAATAAACACTTTACAGATATCGAGACCTTTGGACATAAGTAAATCCAGTGTATGGCCTTTAGAATGAGTGGGCCCTGAGACATGCTGAGTCAGACCAAAATTATCCACATTATTCTATAGCATTTTTATCATTGGTGTTATCCACATGAATGTTAAAATCTCCAGCAATAATTAATGAGTTAAAATCAATACATATGACAGAAATCAGCTGTGTGAACTCATCTAGAATGTTTGCTGAGTATCGGGGGGGGCCTGTATATGGTTATTAATAAAACACGTGATGAAGATTTCAGTATTATTGCAAGATATTCAAAGTGGTGAATGTTCCAAACTATATTTGCTTGCAATTTAGAACATCCTTGTACAAGGAAGCCACTCCACCACCTTTCTTCTCGCCTCTGACCTCACTCATAAAGCTGTAATTAGGTGGTGCTGTTTCAATAAGAACTGCAGCACTATTGTTTGTATCTAGCCAAGTTTCAGTAAGAAACATAAAATCTACTTGCTGTTCTATTATAAGATCATTGATTAAAAATGACTTACCCGCTAAGGACCTAACATTAAGTAAGGCCAAATTAATTGTATTCTCTCCATTTTTAGCTGAGGAAGCCACTGTATCACCATCAGCACAGGGAGCTTTGACTATTTGTACAACTGGACTGATCACTCTCGCACCACGACAGTTGTTATTACAGCAAGGGCGTGACCGCCGGTCAGTGATTCTGACCGGGATGTTGCTCGGCATTAAAGTGGGAGCTGAAATACACACAGGTTGGGGTATAGTTGTAGGGGACCCACCAAGCCACAAGGGGGAGCTAGTGTGGTTTGTAGGGGAAACAGTGGCTTGAGATGACACCGCCGGAAAGGGGGGTGTGTGAACGTGGAGCGCGAAAAGTCAGGGAGACGTCTGAACAGCATGCTGCATGACAAGGATTCCCTCTCTCCTTCCCTTCTGGAAGATGGTGAGTGTACTCAGGGACGAAGAGTCATTTAACCAGCCGCCAGTAGGAGTCAGGCTTTACTTTCTTTTATACCCATAAAGAAAAAGTAAATCTGTTTACAGTTGTTTCATATGGATGTTGAGAGGTATCCATATATCTCTTCATGTTGCTCTCAAAGTGCACCAGATTGATGCTTTTAACTTCAATATTTAAAAAAAAATATTCCCGGGGGAGCTTGCCCCCGGACCCCCCTAGAGGGTGTCAGGTCAATCAATCAATCAATCAATGTTTATTTATATAGCCCAATATCACAAATGTTACATTTGTCTCAGTGGACTTCACAGTTTGTACAGAATATCAGTATGACAATACGACACCCTCTGTCCTCAGACCCTCTGTCCTTAGACCCTCTGTCCTTAGACCCTCTGTCCTCAGACTAGGGCTGCACGATATTGAAAAAAACGGACATTGCGGTTTTTTGTTCCCCTGCGATATATATTGTGGTTTTTTTAACCTGTTAAGCCCCAAGGTCCCGGCGGGTACTTTACTCTTTTTTTCACGACACTGTGTCTCAGGGGATCTTAATATTTAAGAACCTATTAATGTGTTATACCAGATTAACGGAAATAATCTCAGCTAACTGACGATACAAACCATTTTTACCAAAACAAAACACAAGCATCTAAATGACCCCTGAGCGAAAAATGCTAACGGACATTGGCACAGAACTCAAGATAAAAGATACCCTTATTACTTATCGTAGCTGCACATACAGTACAAGATATCTGATTAAAGCTGAGGTTCCACAGATTATTTAGGTATATAGTATCATCACTGAGTGATCCGAACTCGAACAGGGGAAGCAAACACAGTCATCACAACACCTCCCTTTACGTAGCTTCTAGGGGAGATGTCTCACCATAGCTGTCAATCTGATCAAAAGACGTGTTCAATGGCATTAAAACGAGAAAAAACGCGGCTGAATCGGTTAATCCATAGGTTTTTAACGTCTCTGTATACAACAATTATTTCATTTATAATCCATAATTCCATTTTTATGTAAAAATCGCAGAGCAAAAGTTAGCTGCTAATGGTAGTCACCAGAGTGGCTGCTGCTTCCGGTCTTGGCAATGCGACAGTCCAGCGCAGTCTAACACACACACATTACCAAATAAGGAGTGAGAGTGACGCGTAGCCAAAACCGGAAGCTGCATACACTCTGGTGGC